CCAGCTGTTTGGAAACATCACGTCACTGTACCAGCATGTGAGAAAAAAGCTTACGTTTTTCTACCGCACGGAAAAAATTCTCCCGTAAATTTTTGAAAATTTGAGTAGGCTATTTATTTTTGAATATCAGCTTAGCATAGGCCTAGATAAAAATATAACTTGTTAAAAAACAAGCGTAAACAATCACAAATAAGTTTATTATAGTACCATCACTGTTTATAATGCATTTGCAATTAATTACGGGTAGCTGCTGAAAACACGGAATAGCAATACACTTTGTTTATTAAAAAAGTCGATGCGCCCTTCCTTCCGATGCCCGGCCTGAGACCATGCCTGCAGTGTGATTTGATATCTAAACAACCCCGTAAACAACACGCTCTTTGACCCGTAGAACAGGCCTACAGTTAACTTTTTGCATAAAGTTAATTTTATCGAGCTGTTTCATGAAAATAATCACACAATTATTAATTAATTGTCGAAAATAATAATTAAAAATATGGCTCCAGCTAATAAACGCAAAATTCATGTGCTTTTAATTCACAATTCAAGAAGTACGTTCGCCACTGGTGGCGTACCATCGAGGTCAAAGAACTCAACTCTGGAAAAAGTATACTGTTTGAAAGCATGGAGGTCCATGTTGTTGTTTATGCTGTAATATCTGTGAAGAACCGTGGAATGGCCGAGTTTTATGTGATTGTGATAACAAAAATCTTACGTTCTATATTCAGTTTTGTGACTTGGAAATGGATAGTTTAGAGGCCTGCACTCTCGTTACCTTACCTGGCCTAAGCCTAGCCGCCTCGTCAAGCCATTTTTTCCTGTACTAGCTAGGGCATAGACTAGGCCTAGCCCAAACCGTCCTTAAAATACCTTAGGTCTAGACCTCAGTTAAGGTTTTTGAAGTCAAGCTATGTACACCTAGACAAGACTATCGATATTTTAACAAGAATAAAAAAAATTAGGTTACATACATTTTGAGATAATATTTTCGCTATTTTTTTATGTTTACAGACTTGTTTGCCATGATTGAACTGCATCCAAATTCTGCTCTTCTCTTAGCAGCAAAGAGACTACTACTACTGTTGAATACAATATTAAATTAACAGATGCCAAAAAAGAACTGTAAATTGATGTAATTAATGATATTGATGTAGTAGGCCTAACTGTAAATAAATGAATATTGTACAATATTAGACTAGGCCTACTGTACAGATTAGTAAATTTCAGAATTTATGTAATTTCATGGTATTAATTTACATTGTGTAAATAAAAATGAAAGGAAGAGCAAGTTAACTGTGTGATTGATCATTGAATGTCAAGTATTTGATATTATGAGTAGTTGAGTATTGGTTGCAATGCGACACGCATTGTATTTGCAGGCGGCCAAAGGTTCCCGACAAAATCTCCTACGAATGGAGTTCTTCAACTTGGGACCCCTGGAATATAAAGAATTTGGTAAAGGTAGACCAGACCCAATTAGGCTAGGCCGAGTTGAGGACAAGCCGTCCAAGCTGTCACGGTAAAAGTTGCCATCCTAAATAATTGTAGGCAGTCCAAAAGATGACCGGACAGCCTGCTGGCTAATATACGCATGAATATATATATAATTTATATTTCCAGTAATAATTTTTTCTATGCTATCCTACCTATGAAATAGCATGAAATATTTGTTTTATTTAGTCTATCTTTAAATTTTTATTTCGTGAAATATTGCAAACTGATGGGCGCAACCATGTTTGTTGTTTTGTCTTGTCTCCGTTCACCACAGAGCGTTCCTCCTTGTTTCTTTTTTGCGCTGTGGATGTCTACTTCCAAAGTGATAGAAATGCCAACACGCTGATTGGCCAACTTGGCTTTATCTCTAACTAATGCACAAAGCATGAGATGTAAGCATCGGATCGGAGTTTATGCAGCCACAGAGTGTTTTCTTTTCCAGAGGTAATAGTTAGGTCTTACTAATATAAACCTAATCCTAAGTAAATCTTAATGCTTTGCATCGGCTACCGTGTATACAAATACACTTTTTTTATACTACTACTAAACTAGGCCTTTTCTAGATAGAAGCAAAGACTAGGCTACTGTAGCCTAGGCCTAGACGGGACAATGATAGAATGGAACTGCTGGGGAGAAGCCCAGCCGGCTAGCGTTCGGATGGATGGTAAACAAGTCTAGACCTTAAAAAACCAAAAAAAAAATCAGGTCGGGGGATTTTCTGATGGTCAGGGGATTTTCTGATGGTCGGGGGATTTTCTGATAGTCGGGGATGCTACGTGGCCTAATGAAGACTTGCCTCAGGAAATGACCGGAAATGATATTTTTGACCTTTGACCTAATTTTAATAAAATAATTTCAAAATCACCATAACTACTCAACATATACTTTAGGGTGGTTTTGGTCTCAAATTGATCAGAATATATAAGTTTGTATAATTATGTTAATGTAATTTCTGTCTCCTTTGCTACTAAATATTGAGATATTTTTTTTTTTGTCAACTGATGTTTGTCCAAATAAATACAGTCAATATTAAACTGCAAATGAAATGCCATTTCTGGATCTCTGATCTAAAGATACCAGAATTTCAATGTTTCCATAATTCATAAACTTAGTCTTGGTTTTGGTGTCATATGAAGCATTTTCAAATAATCAAAATTATAATCATGAACCCCATATACCTAGTGTAATGTCTACACCTCTATTTGTAATATAAACATGGTCTAGGTCTCAATTTGTACCAGGCATATTGTTTTATATTAAATTATCTGACACGAAATGATACAGAATTACGATTTTGAGAACATTATATTTCTAATAAAGTTAGTCTTACTTCTAGTTCTGTATGTGATGTTGGCAACCAAAAGTTTATTCTAATGTTATATCTTGTGAAGTGTTGCTGTATAAAGTAAGATTGCAAAAACCAATCAGTGCAAGTGCAAAAAGAATGGACTCGTGTGTACATATCTTTGCAGCTGTTGTGAGAAGGAGGCATTTGAGAACAAAGATGATAACGACTTTTTTTCAAAGCAAGTTTTGTTACAGCGAATATAGACTTGTATTATATTCCAAACAATTTCAGACAAAAGTCTATGTTTAGTGGTTATGGAGATATAGACATTTCATTAACATAAGGTCAAAGGTCAGAAATGTCATTTCCTGTAATTTTAGGAAGAAACTCTTTATTAGAGTGAATATAAATTTACATATTCTGAACAATTTGAGATCAAAACCAAGTCTCTATGTTAATTTTGTTATAGAGATATAGAAATTATTTTAACATTAGGTCAAAGGTCAGAAATATCATTTTCCAAGGAAAGTTTTAATTAGAGCGAATATAAAGTTATATATTCTGAACAATTTGAGACCAAAATTAAGTCTCTATGTTGAGTAGTTATGGAGATATAGAAATGTCTTTATCATAAGGTCAAAGGTCAGACATGACATTTCCAGCGAAGTTTTTCATTAGAGCGAATATAAACTTATACAAATAATTACAAACAATTTGAGACCAAAATCAAGTTTCTGTGATATGCAGTTGTCAAGATATGGACATTGTTAAATTCAAGGTGGCAGACTTCAATCGGAATCTGCCGCCATTCCAAAGTTGCCAACATGTTTTTTTGTGACCTTTTGTGTTATTTGGTACTTAAGCGCGAAAATGTGAGGCAGACCCTAAATGTGCTAGTCTCATGCAAAATGTGTGAAATTTGGTAGGTTTGCAGTACATTAACTATGAAGTAGAGCGAAGAAATGACAATGGAATTGATGAAGGAAAATTTCTCAAACACAGGAAATAATGGATGAGTTAAAATACATACAGTAGACAGATAGACTGATGTATACTAGATCTGCAAATTGCAAGGGAGAGAAAACATTTAAAAACTGTACCAATATCTGTATATGCTTGAACAGTTGCCTTCTTCCAGAAACAAGCGAAATGAAACCAATTCGGTATCTTGCCATCAAAAACAGGTGACTGTAAATAAAACAAAAAAAAAGAACTTTGTTACTGGTAATGGCAGAAGAATAATCAAACCACTAGGTCATAAAATCATAATTTATTATGTATTACAGTATCACATTCCATCTAGCCTCTGGACATCTGATACCGCATTACATTGCCTGGTACTGTACAGTACCTACTTGGCTAGAGGGAGGATTTTTCCAATACAAGAATCTAAATTCTAAGTATAGATCCCTTTCGGTGTTTACAATTGTTTACAATTGATTAAGATGTTCAAGTTAAACCTAAGAGAGTAATCTTGAAATTTTGTCAGGTTATAATTTTCGTTTTTGCAGCTCTATTGTGAACAAAAGGCAAATTAATGTAGATTTTATTAACTTTCACTGTTCTAGTGGGATACTGCTGAGGGATAGGCCTACTGTAGTGTTTACAAAACAATGGGCTGGACGGAAAGTACAGTTAAGGTGTGCACTCTTCAGCATTTGGGGATAAAAACAAATTGTTGATTTGAAAACACATCCCACAATGCAATGCTTTTTGCTTAACACGGTTTCAAAATTACAAGTATAAATGAGTGTCAATGGTGGATCGGCCTCCAGCACTAATTAGTTATCAATGACACAACACCGTGTTCAATCCAACAGTGTAGTATAAACACAGCCTAGGTCTACGGTAGGGTCCCCTCCATTGAGACACTATAGGTGGAAATATTTTTGGCTGGAAAGTACTGTATGGTTAGAAAAATAGCTTCTATCTTAACACTATGCTAAACTTCTATTCAGGGGCCCTGTTTTTAAATGCTTAAACTGTTAAAAAATAAGTAGCTGTGCTTGATTACTAAAGTTATCAGACTCAGGGCATGTTTTTACTGAATAATGCCAACAACATGTGTTTTTTTTAAACGGTTAAATTCCTTCCAAACGCATTTCTAGTGAAAAGTGCAACTGATAAAAACATGGTAATGCGAGCCTTGGTAGGTGGGCAGAGCTTATAATGACGATCACCTACGGAAGTTAAAGTTAACCTCACTTCCTGTCCGCATGCTGCGAAAGAAGTAAACAACGCACTGTGAACGTATGAAAAAAATTATGCTAAGCCTAAAGCATGTTATCCTGTTGGTTTTTTCTTTGCCATAAATTCCCGCGAACGAACGATCAAACCAACAAAGTGGTCAATTTGGGTCACCAAAGGGTCATGACTAACACAGTATTGCATTGCAGCTGAAAGTGTACCACAAAACTCATGTTTTCTAAACGCCAACCATATAACGAATGCGTGTTAAAACACGTGTTTTTAGACACATTCCTAAACCATGTTTTTGTTGTTTGGCCCATTTCTGCTGGGAAAAAAACATGCTTTTTAATAACTGTTTAAAACGCGTTTTTTTGCTCAGCAGAAACAAGCCCTCATGTTGTTGGACAATCATTCACATAATTTAGATGATCATGTCCATGCATTATCAAGAAAGGATAAGTCACTACTCGTCGTCAGATTTGGATCCCGTATACGAAGTTATGAAGGCCAAAGCGAAACTAAAGTGATGAAATATTAATGATCATTTGACAAAAGCCAACCCTCAGTTACAAACGTGCGAGGGACTAAAAAAAGCATAGAAAGGTGAATTCAACTTGGACAAGAAATGGTAATATATTTATTCAACGTACGTGCCATACTACTAGCACTAATTGGTACCTTATTTGTCATAAAAAATATTATGAGGTGGGTGTATCGCAATCAATTGGTTAATAATGTGATGATACCTGTGTGTGGAAAGACACCTCACTTTACCCCAGCTCTGCGATCAAATAAATCAGTACCCACAAGAGTGATATGAATCAAATAAGAGATATAAATAACAGGAACTCTCCCTCGCACTACCCTGGAAACAAATCTGCACCTGCCCCTGTTGTGTAGTGGTAAAGGGCGCTACAACTAGTGATGAAGTGACCTAATGCACTTGTCAAATCAAATGTAGTCCTGGCACCCCCCCCCC